GGTGACTTCATTTTAATCTTGTGCACACACATGGTACATGTGTCATATTGCTGGCTCCAAGCAGACTAGGTTTAATATTTTTAAGGGTATGTGTCCGGTATATTAAACACAATTGTGCTGATAGATCTTATTCTTTCAAATATCTCTGAAGCAAAATGATCTAGGGAATTATTTATATCTTTCATTCGATCTGGAGTGACTGTGACGTAGGCGTTGATGATATACTTAAGCAGATTGAGAATTTTCATGTCAACCTGACACTTTCTTATACCATCCATATGGTTGTAGTTGTGATTGTCATCACTGTTTACCAATAAAGTCTTCAACATGTCTGGGATGGAGACTAATAAAGGCTTGTCTGATTCCGGATGGATGGAGTAGGTCGTCTCGTTGAAACTACGGAAATCGTGTCGCTTTTGGTGTCAGATTACTTCGTTTTCTTACGTTTGGCTGTACGCCTAGAAGCAGGGGACTTCCTTTATATTTGTGGGACGATACGAAAGTGAAAAACTGAAGATGGATTGAACAAAATGTAGGAAATAGAAATGGGTAAAATGCAGAGGGCTCAAGTTAATCAAGAAATCAAAACCTATGTTTTAACCAAGAGTGAATGGATCGTGAGAATTAGTGAAGGTTTCAAAAACAAGAGGAGAAAATGACAGTAAGATAGTAGTAGAGATGTAGTATGTATGTCAGTATATGTGTAGAGGCAAAACGGAACATAAAGGTGTACATTGTGCACATTTTAACATATATATTACACGGAAAAATAGCCTTCTATAATAAAGTAATTTCGAACTGTCGATAATCACTATCAAACAATCAAAGTGAGTACGGGGTGCAGAGAAAAGTAGTTTAAAAGATCATTACCGTCTAAGATTATTATGATGCTTTATGACCAAACATATGAAACAGCTTTTAGGATAAAAATACTGACTGAAAACCATGAGAGACTCACCGAATTGTACAGGTAAGTTTGCAAATAAAATGAGTTATAGCATCGAAACACAATTTAAAAGATATTATATAAAATAGTGAGTATAGTGCTTTATCATGCACCATTATATATTTCTCTTAATATTAGGTAGAGGTTTGAATGTATCCTGTAAATTCATAAATTACGTAGGTTATAGCACCCAAATACAATATAAGGAATAGAATGCAAATGTGAAATTCAATTCTTCGTCAAATATGATTATATGTAGTTTTAAAAATGACAGAACATGGTTTGATCGTCGACTGTTGCTAAGATAACGGTTTTCCGAATATTTTAATAGATATTTGACTACATCACTGTGATCAAAGTCATGTTTGATCTTTAGAAGGAATATTTTGATGTAGTGTTTGTTGTGTATGATGTCGGGTTTTACTGACACTCCTTTTGTTCTGATAGTGTTGCAAGGTTCACAAACACAAGTGTGTGAATGCGTCAGCTCATTTTTCTAAACTCTCTTAATGTATAATATTACACACATAGCAACGTCACAAAATAAGTGTAGACAATATTAACACTGGACACATACAAACATACCAACTAGTGTTGCATGTTTTACCGAAATGAACAAAAATTGAGTCACATCAATACAATGGGATAATAATATCCATACAACAGGGATAGTCTAGAGACACACGACCAGATTGACGTGGTGAGCGCTTAAACAACGATTTGATTGGTTAGTTGTGGACATATCTGAAATTACTGGATGGCAGTGTGTAGAGGCAAACAATGATATGTGCTAAACTTTTCCATATTATACCATTTTTAAGCGTTAGTTTTCTGCGTTTACTTAACTGTATCATTCAGTTTCCATCTTCGCTGTACATTGTTTTATTTGAAGTTAGGCATTAAGTTTTCGTTTAACTTTTTGTATTAGGCTGCCATTAGGTCATATACAGTCTCCATAACCTTCACATCCGTTATTGAAGTACAGTCAATTGATAAACTCACGAAATGTGGCTCAATCAACAAGTAAGCCGAATTCCAAACTATGAACCGTGATTCTGTTCGTTATATGTGAGATATCTACCCAAAAATGTTGGTTCAAATGTCACTGTGAGAGTTTACATAACGGACCTCCAATTTCTTGTTTTCAGGGAGAAATTTCACAAGTGGTAAACTGTAGTGTGATAGAAACTAGAGGGTTTAAGATCAAAGTTACTAACACACCAAGTTCAGATTTTTAGAACTACAAATACATCCCAAACCGATAAAAACGGCCAAGATTCATCATCAATATTTGCAACTATTTAAGTACTTTTGGTCCTTTTTATTTTTTACTCTTGAGCTAAATAACGTTGGTTGTTTTCAGAGAATAAGAAATTCTCAACATTAGTTTAAAAAGACTAGGCATAAATGTCTGGTGATGGTCTGATGGTCTCCATAATCCGGTCGGTAGATGCAGCTAGTTAATCTACGACGTTGTTTTGGAATGAGACAAGGACTTTCTGCACCGTTTGGGGAAGCCTAGACAAGAAGAGCTGCCTAAACAGGCCTCATTAAGGGTCCGTTGATCAGTGAACTCACGCATACGTGGTAACGCTTCTGTTGCTGAGCCATGCTGAAGCTGAATGCTGTGAGAAAGTTGGTCCAAACTTTGTCGATCGGTCAGTCCTCCATGTTTGAGAATAACCTTCTTAAAAATGTCTTTAGGTTCAGAAACGTCACTATTAAACACACTGGGTGTGACGTACCCGTTAAAATCACACGGCAGTGCCTTGACTGCTACAGGGAACTGTGCATATGTGTTGGCCACGCTGTGTTAGTCGAAATCAACTTTTGCGTAGCTGGGCCAGGCTTTGATACTATTGGGCCAGAATGGCATGAGTTGAAAAACGTGAGGTGGAATAGTCTTAATCCTAAACAACTTAGGTACCTGCTCCATCATAATGAAGACAATATATATATAAACCGGCGAGAAAAATTTCCGAAAACATTAAAATAATGTCGTTACATGCAAAAGAAATGACTGAAAGATGTTATATAATGTCACAACATGGAATAGACTAACAGTCTATTGTTTGTGTACCGGATCAACTAGGGCTCAGAAATCATAAGTGAAAGAGATTAATGATATATTTAGAAAGCTATCGATATGTCGAGAAGCGTTTGATCTAAGCTGGCTAGCAGTTGTAAGAGATGCGTAACACCACACACTCAATCGTGATCTGGTGCAGATGCATGACCGGATGCCTTCAGCTAGGGCATGTCTAGTAAAACTGACTAGATCGGCATCAATGCCGAGGACATACAGAACTGTTTACTTACTTACTTACGCCTGTTACTCCCCAAGGAGCATAGGCTGCAGACCAGAATTCTCATAAATTCTTTAACATCTTTGGTCCTTGTACTCTGTTCAAATCTGAAAGACTATTATCGTTCCCAGTTTTTAAAATAACTCAATGAACTTATCAGAATGGGTTTTGTGGAGAGTTTCAGAAATTTCACAGGTTGAAATCATGAGTCAGTTGGAGCTAGACCACCATTGAAAACCTGGAAGCACTGGACGGCCGTTTCGTCCCGCTATGGGACTCCTCAGCAGTGCGCATCCACAATCCCGCACCACGCGGGGCTCGAACCCAGGACCTACTGGCTTCGCGCGCGAGCACTTAACCACTAGACCACTGGGCTGGCATCCAACGGTCTTGATGTCTAATTTCAACCAATCCACGAAGTTGCGCCACCGTACACCATTGTCTTCAGTGAGTTCCTATCTCACAACAGACCGGTTGAACTCCACTGGTAACGGCTTCTCACTAGAACTCCAGGAATTTTTCTTGAAGTCAGTCACTGCTGAGGAGTCCCATACCAGGACGAAACGGCCGTCCAGTGCTTCCAGGTTTTCCATGGTGGTCTAGCTTCAACTGACTCGTGATTTCAATCTGTGAAAATTTCTAAAACTCTCCACAAAACCCATTCTGATAATAATCAACTGCTCATTAGTGACTGACTTCAAGAAAAACTCCTGGAGTTCTAGTGAGAAGCCGTTACCAGTGGAGTTCAACCGGTCTGTTGTGAGATAGGAACTCACTGAAGACAATGGTGTACGGTGGCGCAACTTCGTGGATTGGTTGGAATTAGACATCAACACCGTTGGATACCGGCTCAGTGGTCTAGTGGTTAAGTGCTCGCGCGCGAAGCCAGTAGGTCCTGATTCGAGCCCCGCGTGGTGCGGGATTGTGGATGCGCACTGCTGAGGAGTCCCATACCGGGACGAAACGGCCGTCCAGTGCTTCCAGGTTTTCAATGGTGGTCTAGCTCCAACTGACTCATGATTTCAACCTGTGAAATTTCAATGAACTTAATTTCAAGTCTCCATCGTGATGATTGCCATGAGTAATACTCCCATTGCGTTATCACGAGAAGACGTATTCTAGGTACAGTAGTGCGATTCGTGCGTGTCGTTTTTATTTCTTGCATGTTTTTGAGTTATGGTGTAATAACCCTCCTGATTTATTGTAAATACCTTTAATAGGTCATGAAATACTCATACTCCATTTGTTTGTAATCTTGTAATCTTTCCTTTGGATTTCATTTTCAGCTACATATTGATGGATTTATTAAAGATACCTCTAGTCCTTTTCGTCGAACATCTAGTCTAACTCCTAAATCTTTGAGACTACAAATGCCAGTTTTCAAAACAACATATCCTGAGTGATTTTGACACTGAAGCTGTTTCCTACCACTGCAGTGGACTTCCGTTCATACCTATCCTTCAAACGGTTCGTAGTTCACCTATCATTTCTGACAATTATGCCTTATTGAACAGTTGATCGCAACATACATCTCTTGAGTTACTGGGATTATGAAAATATGCAATACCAATATAAATCATTTTTATAAATAATTATATAGTCAAGCCTACAAAGAGTATATTCTCAATGACTACCAAAGCACATGGTAATGGTGAGCACACAGGTTCATTTTAACTACACCGTGGTACATTCGACTGGAAGTGATTCGGTGTGTAGTTACCTTACTTCGTTAGGTTGGATGCTTGAAAATGGGGGATTTTCAGAGCTTTAAGGTTAGGGACTTGTTTGTACTGGTTTTAGGCTACTGATCATGTCATATCTTCACTATTCTCACCAGTAATTTATTATGCTCATGTTAACCTGAGTATTCACCTTAACGTCCAGCTTTGAAATGTTAATATCCACTTACATATACTATCTAAACACGCCTTTCCGACATTCTTGTTTTTAGTTCGAGAATTCCATGCCGGATTTATGTCCTGAAACACAGCTGAACTTTAGAAAGTTTCTTCAAGCTGCTGGGATTGAAAACATGTTGATTAAAGATGGCCGGAGAATATCAGATACCGAAGTACTAAATGAAATCAGGAAAGAGGTCGCTGTTTTGTCTATGAACGACGATGATGGGTAAATTAACATTTTCCAGGGTTTATTTGTCAGACGGACCTCGTCGCTGATTCTTGCGTGTATCAACGGTGACGATGAAGCTGTTAAACTTCTCATTCTTTCGGGCGAGTGCGATGTAAACGAGGTTGCACCTGATGGAGAAACTGCACTGACGTGTGCCATATCCTCGAATGCTGTGCGGATTGTGGAGATGTTGTTAAAACATGGGGTACATTCACATATTTGGTATTTTAATACTCAATTTGTAGTCTGATCCAAACTTTCGTGGTAAGAAAGTTGAGTGCACTCCATTGATGGAAGCTGCTAGTGTTGGTTATACTGATATTGTGAAGTTGCTGTTGGAACATGGAGCATGTGTTGGCCAAAAGTCGAACACAGGAAATACTGCACTACATTATGCTGCTACTTCCGGTCACTTGGAGTGTGTTTGTCTTTTACTACAGTACAATAGCCCAATGGAAGTTCAAAATGATACTGGTCATACACCTTTGATGGAAGCTACAAGTAACGGGCACGTAGACGTCGCTCGTTGCCTTATAAAGCATGGATGCGATATTAACACACATTCAGCGGAATTCAAAGAATCCGCACTAACTCTGGCAAGCTACAAAGTATGTGTACGATATTCCTATTGAAATCTATCAGCAAAACTTTCCGTATAATTCGATCCTATGGACACTGGCTTATAGTAGCATCAGTGCACGTTTATTAGGTGTTAGGAAGTTAAGATCTAAAACAACTGTTAAGGGTTTAAATGCTGTCTTACGGTTCATGTAACGGACTGCGAGCATATTACTCTACAGTTTTTTAGTTTGTAAAAAGGACGGTGTAGTCCCGAGTACCATTTTTTATCCGCAGTCCTATTCCGTTTGTATCAAATAACACAGAATCATAACGCCTCATCTAATTTATAGACTTGTTTCGTGCGTTGAGTCAATTATGTTTCGTCTCAATTTTGGATAGGATTTACAGTTGGATAGCTACCGTCTGGGTGTCCCTCTCAACAGTCATTTTCCTATAAATGAAATATTTGTATTTGTAATCAATATGTTCCTGGCCATCAATTTTTCCTGGTGTTACCGTCTACTTATATCAGGGGATTGCGGTCTGGCAAATTTAGCCCATCATTACGTTCCATAATCAATTCCATCAAGTATAAGTGACGCGTGTTCTAAAACCACTACCTAGATTTAAAAAGTCGTAACTCATGGATGCATTAGCAAGACTTACGCCAAGTGTTTCCTATTTAAACAGTGTGAACTCCATATTTAAGCTGGTTGGAGTGTTGTTTTTAGCATAGTAACCCCATTTGTTCCCCGTTTCCTTGTCTGGTATATTCTTTGTATGAAGGTTCAGTCCATACTTTTAACCACCTGTCTTAGCCAGTTAGCCATGCCCTCAAATATGACTTTATGTACTTGAGTTTTGGGGCAAAAATAGTACGGTCGAACTTTATAACGTGGAGGTCAGTTTATCGCGTGAATCTACATTGCATCCATTTACAGTTCGCACAGATGGTTTACTGGATGTCGTTAAGGCATATGTAAAGAACAAGAACTATTAAAAAGATGTAGTGTTACAAGTTTTGCTACTAATGCTGTTCACATCAAACACTCGAGAACTGAATAAGTAGATGTTTCCTTATCCTGGTAGTGCTTTTTTTCAAAGGGTCATGCGGAAATGGTCCGTTTCCTGTTGACTGCAGGAGCCGATCACGAACATCGTACTGATGAAATGCACACTGCTCTAATGGAAGCTGCAATGGAAGGTCATGTCGAAGTTGCTCGATTACTCCTTGCTCATGGCGCGAACGTGAACATACCACAAGATAGTTTCGAGTCCCCTCTAACTTTGGCCGCTTGTGGAGGCCATACTGAGCTTGCACATCTGTTAATTGGATATGGAGCAGATATTGAAGAGGTGAATGACGAGGGCTATACACCCTTAATGGAAGCTGCAAGAGAAGGTCATGAAGAAACTGTCGCTTTATTGCTTGCAGTAGGTGAGTTGATGAGTATTTATTCTGTAAATTTTTAATAAAAAAATTCAGTACAACCTGCATTAATGTACTTTGTCTTGAATATTTGCGTCATTATCACTAATGATGCTAATTATATGTCAATTCTTTTCTTAACTGACCGACCTGCTGTTAGCATGTGTCGTGTGTTGTATTCCTGTCAAGTCTTTACACCTAACCAAACAGCGAATCCAAGAGAATTTTCTGTATTATGTATTTAATAGGATTGTGTTATCCGTTCCCGTAGATTTTGTTATCCCATACTTATTCCTCAAATTCATCTCTTTTTTTCTTAGAACCCTATTCTCTGTGTTTATTCCTCTTTATTCCCCTATCAACCTTCTTAAATAAAAACCACGAATATTTTGAATCGTATAATACGATAATACCAAATTTAGATCTTAAGATGCATAGTAACATTTGAAATGTTATTTGGTTCAACAAGCGATTATACGAAAGTGCTAATTAGGACTCAGGTTATATTGTTTCTGGTTACTTTGCCTTCATATGAATATCTTGCGATCTGTTTAGGTGCTGAAGTTAACGCAAGAACGGAGGAAACACAAGAAACTGCTCTCACGCTTGCAGCCTGTGGCGGATTCATAGAAGTCTGTGAAATGCTTTTAAATGCTGGTGCTGATATTGAAGTTGGCGGAGTTGGTTGTTCTACTCCTTTGATGGAAGCTGCTCAAGAGGGACATCTAGAACTTGTCCGGCGTTTGTTGGAGCGTGGAGCATTAGTGAATGCAGTGACCGCCACTGGAGACACGGCGCTTCATTATGCAGCTGAAAATGGGCATGTCAAAGTTTGCGAGAAGTTGCTTGACTGGGGAGCCGTTTTTGGAGCTATGACAGAAGGAGGACGAACTCCATTGATGAAGGCTGCAAGAACAGGTCATTTGGAAGTTGTCCAGTTATTTTTAGAGCGTGGAGTAGCGATTGACCAGCCTACCTCACAGAATGATGCCAATGCCTTGTCGTTAGCTTGTAGTGGCGGACATGCAAAGGTAGGTTATCTTTAGAGTAGTGTTCAGTACATTTGCTAAGATAAACGTTTCACTGGTTTTCTGAGTATGACAATCACTTTTATACATTAATCAGGCAAAATTGTTTGTTGGGATTTTAACCACTGCCTTATCTTAAGAACGTCTAATGCATTCAGGAAACTTAATCATTTTTAAACTCTCTTAACTTGTTATTTACTGACATTTCCTCCTATAGATGGTAGAGTTCCTTCTTCAACATGGTGCTGATCCTCAATATCAGTTAAGAGATGGTTCTACAATGCTAATCGAAGCTGCTCGTTCTGGAAATCCAGCAGTTCTGAGACTCATTTTAGACTATCCTAAATGTCTCAGTCAGCCGTCGTCCATGCTTCCAAATGCTTCTGTTCAGCTTGTTGCGAATACACTGAACCAACATCAAACTCAACACCAATTTTCTCATGACCAGCGTTCTGCTTACCAATCACTCGTGAATGGCGTACCTACAATCGGCAATGTTATCATGCCACCACCCCCACCGCCTTTACCTATTTCTGTCTCCGGAATAACCAACATGGATATGTGCCTTGACCCATCTCATTCACATATGCACTCACAAGGTCATTCGCATTCCTGTCATTCACACCAACAACTTTCGTTTCAGGCTCCTTCCAGTCTTTCTACGTCAACTAACTCTGTTCAGCCCACAACTCATATAAATGCGGCACTGGCCAACGCATATGCTGTTGGATGGGCAGCCGGGGCAGCTGCTTTAGTTCACCAACAACAGCAGCAGCATACAATAAACTCAGCTATTACCAGTTCAGGTATTTTTTACATGCTTAAGCTATCAGTATAATGACTAACTAATGATCAGTTTTATTTTTATGTACTGGATGTTCTTGCTTTTAGACAAACTGTCTTTCTGTAGCGTAAAATCTTGGGTAATAAAAGTTCCTCTTGGGTGAAATTTTAATCCCAATCCGGCAAAAAAGATAAATTAATAATACTGCACTCTAATTTGGTTGTTTGCTATCTAGTGAAAACATTTTGTGCCTAGTGCTTAAATTGCGTAAATCGTATTTGACTACTAATGTGCAATCAGTAGCAATATTAGTATCACTAAATTCCAATCGGGGCTGAGAGATTAATAAGCAACGTGAAACATGCTCTGGTTAATGCAAAAAGCAATATACAGGTTGGTTTTTGTAGTCACTGTAGATATGCATTCGCTCATCAAAACTTTTCCTGAAAAGATAACCGTAAAACAAACCTAAAGTAGAAAAAACCCCACCCATTCCCCTTTTCTATATTGACATCTATAGCATGGATGTGTTTGCGTTTCATTGTTTCCCACTAGATTTTTTGTTAGTGAATACAAGGGGATTTCACAGTTAAATTAATTGTATCATTAGTCGGGGACCTTGCATTTTATGTTAATATACACTCACAATAGGGCTTGTTATGTTCACATATCTTTAGTTACCCTTTGTCTAACTCCGATTTGTTCGGATCACTAATAATGTAGACAAAATCCTACTTACTTCGTATATGTTCTGTTGAATTAACGTGCTTAGAACAACGGTATATCCATAGTCGATATGTGAGTGTTGCTGATGTCTGTATTTCATAAATTCATTTCGGTAACCAGGCAGCTAAAGATGCAATGATTGTATAAGCCATTGGAGCTCAACAACACACAACGACAGCACAGCGACTCTTCTTTACAAATCATCTAATAAATACAGGAGATGGACAGATACATTTGTACTGGTGTACAAACATTTGTAAAATGTGATCAAAGCTACAAGTATTTGAGAAGGACAAATATATGGGTGACCGTAAAAAGAAAGATTGGAATAGTGCATCTGTCCGAAAGTTATATTAAATCACGCAGGTGTGTCACAATACTAATTGCTACACACGCACCATAAAGTGACATTCTAATCAAGTTTCAAGTGAGTATACAAAGTACATTTCCCTCTTAACAGACCATTAGTTGAAACTTATTTTCGTGTAAAAAAGATGGCCTACAAGCTTGTAAACTATTTACTCGCAATCATAATCCGCTAAAACCAAACTTTTAATTCCATCTTATTTAATTCTTTCTTGATTATGGGTAAGTTATGTTGTGGTTTAATACTTTGAGGCATTTTCCATCATGAATTCGGTCTTATGTTAATATTAATTAGGTTGGTCTTTTTGTAGTATGTTTAAATGTGATAAATCTCCAGTGATCTTTGTTAACGGTTTTGCTAATAATTGGCATTATACTATAGATTGCATATATCTGATTAATTGCACTTGATAAGTGCTTGCATCCTATTAAAAAGCATAACTCCCACAATAAAAAAACGCTATCCCTTAAACTTGAGTCAAGTTTTTCCACGTTTAACTAACGAATTTCTCAGATAAACAGATGTGTCTCTATCGAATAATCATCTAATAATCCTCAAGGATTGTTAATGTTCTAAACAGTTAAGGTTGTATATTAAGCTTAGAGCTTTATTAGCTCAACCATCTACCATTTAGTTACTGCTCGCATAATCATAATCCAGATGAATGTATTTGGCTAACTCACTGACTTTTCGTAAACTCATAAGCTTCTTATAATCACTGCTACTCTCATATGTTGATTGACTTACAGTGGATGCACCTTTGGTTATGTGTCCTCCAGTCAGCGCTATACTTTCACACACACATACTTCTGGACCATTGCATGATCAGATTTTGTTGACAAACAACAATACATTCGAGCTTCTTCCTGGAACTTCTTTATCAACAAATGGATCATGTACTACTTTACCTTCAAACTGTTCGATTATGGCTCACAATGCGCATTTAAATTTTCAAACTACTTCTGTCACTGCTGCTGTCGATTCAGTTACCGGGATAACTAGTGTTCAAACTGTGTTAACTCAGGCAACACTAGGTGCTAGTGGAACGGGACCATCATCTAGTACAACTAATAGTATTGGTAGCATCAGTGGAGGTAGTTCAACCAGCAGTGGAAGCAGTGCTTCATCCATGGTTGCTGGATCTTCAATTGACCTTACAGATGACTTTAGTGCTGGTCTACTGGTGAGCTTTCCAATTTAATATTCAACATATTTTTCTTATCTGAATTAAAACCACTTTTACTATGGTGACAGTTCTGTAGTTAAACTCAGGCAATTTTTTAATGTTTATACTAGTTTTGGATTTGTCAACATTCATTTACTTTCTTTTATTCAAGGCACTTTTTCAAGAGCTGATGCCTGATTTGAAAGCGGATAAAGATGAATTGATCAAACGATTTGAAGCTGTCATGTGTCCCTTCAGCACACTTCGTGCTGCTCGTACTGCTATTAGTCAACGAAATGGAACCAATCTGGATTCTCCAACCGCAATCGCTATGAGTACTAATGCTGCCGTCTTGGCTCTTAGCAAGTTAATTGATCAACAGTCACAGTGCCGTGCTCATTCTTCGTATCCTGGAAATGGTTGTGAAGTACTGGAACAACACCTTTCACCTAGATGTATTCATACATCTTCAGCTGAAACCGTCTTGTCTAAAACCACCCAGTGGACAGGTCTGCTTTCGACTTCCTGTGATACACAGTTTCCGGAACCAATTTCTTTTTCCACTGAGTGTGGCCCAACACTTAGCAAAGTACCTGATGATCAACCAGACCTCACTGACTCCAACGATCATAACTTTAGTGCCGCTGCAAATGTAACACCGGTTATGTCTTCTTGCCATTCATCATGCTCCGCGTTATCAACGTCAGAATGTTCAATGTCTTCTGTCCATAGTGCCAACTTCTTATGCCGTGCCAATAAAACAACTTCAACATCCGTCGAGTCTATTTTACCTGCACTAAATTCTTACGACTATGGATTGGATAAAACCTCTGACGTATTAGGACCTTGCATTGATTCCTCGTATTTAAGCAATCTCGTGGATTCTGTCGGTCTTGCAACAACTCAAGCTGTCATTCATGAAGCTGGTTTAAACCATGATATACTTACATGTTATCGTCATTTTCACGTGAGTACGGTTTTTATCTACTATACATTAGGCAAACTCCTTAGTACAGTTAGAATATTAGAGCAGTCATATAACTATTTGGCTTTGTTCATTTTACAGGTATTCTTGGTTTTCAGTTCACACATTAGTGTTCACAGGGTTAATTTATAGCCATATTTACCCTTAATTACTTACGCCTGTTGTCCCTTCTGGGGGAGCATAGGCCATCCACCAGCACTCTCCATTCAACCTTATCTTGGGCATTCCTTTCCAGTTCTTTCCATTTGCTATTCATTCTTTTCATGTCTGCTCCCAGTTCCCGACTCAATGTGTTCTTTAGTCTTCCTCTTTTCTGTTTCCATTCAGTATTTAGAGTTAGTGCTTGCCTCGTGATGCAGTTTGTTGATTTCCACAATTTATGTCTTGTCCATCTCCAGAGTCTTTTCCTAGTTTCCTCCTCAGCTAGAAGCTGGTTTGTTCTCTTCCACAGCAGGCTGTTGCTAATGGTATCCGGCTGGCGGATATTGAATGTCTTGCGTAGATAAATGTTTATAAATACTTGTATCTTTTGATGATGGTTGTGATAATTCTCCAAGTTCCAGCTCCGCACAGCAGGAACTTTCTTGATGTTCGTATTGAAGATTCTTACTTTGATATTAGTTGACAGTTGCTTTGAATTCCATATGTCCTTCAGTTGTAGTAATAGAGCCCTTGCTTTACATATCCTTACCTTTACGTCTGCATCGGATCCTCCTTGTTCATCGATGATTCTTTCCAGATACGTGAAAGATTCCACATCTTCCAGAGCTTCT